GCACAAATGCATTTGTCTGTGTGAAAAATGCTTTTCCTATGACGAAGACAAGTCCAGCGTGCTCTTTGTTTGGGGGGTTGTGTCCCTGTCTCCTCTAGATCCTTTACTATCTCTTTCCCTAAGGGGCTGACTAACCCTAAGGAGCCTCAGCATTGGAGAAGCCAAAAGGCTCAGGCGCACCCTTAGGAAGGATGCTCAGATGTCCTAACTGCAAAGGAGGCGAAGGTGATGCAAAATGTAGAACCTTGAAGAAAAATGTAGGACAATGGTTCCTAAACTTTGGTCTGCTAGATGTTTTGGACTTCAGCTCCCATAATTCTCAATTGCTGCCCCAACTGACTATGACCTCTGGGAGCTAAAGTCCAAAACACCTGAAGGTCTGGGAACCACTGATATATGATATCACACAACAAAAGCTAAAAATGCTCATATACATGTAAATTCATGCTTCTTGGTCCAAAATGGAGGCACAGAAGATGGAAATGTAGGGCATGTCCAGGACAAGGAGGATGTCTGGTCACCCTGGTCCTAGGTGACTTGACTTGGGGCATCCCAAACATGCTGTAGAAAGCAATCCAGTTTGAGACTGGATAGAGAAACATAGGAGAATACATACCCATAGAGAATAATTGGAGAATACTTGCCCATAGAGAAACATAGGAGAATATTTGCCCACAGGCAATCATTGGAGAATACTTTCTCATAGAGAATCATTGGGGAATACTTGTCCATAGGAAAACATTGGAGAATTTCTGCCCATAGGGAACCATTGGAGAGTACTCGCCCTAGAGAATTATTGGAGAATACTTGCTCATAAGGAATCATTGGGGAATACTTCCCATAGAAAAACATAGAATACTTGACCATACAGAAACATAGGAGAATACTTGTCCATAGGGAATAATTGGAGAATACTTGCTCATAGAGAAACATAGAATAGTTGTCCATAGGGAATAATTGGAGAATACATGCCCATAGGGAATCATAGGAAAATCTTGTCCATAGGGTATCATTGGAGAATACTTGCCCCTAGAGAAACATAGGAGAAGACTTGCCCATAGAGAAACATGGGAGAATATTTGCCTATAGGGAATAATTGGAGAATACTTGTCCATAGAAAAACATGGGAGAATACTTGCCTATAGAAAAAACATAGGAGAATGGTTGCTCATAAAGAATAATTGGAGAATACCTGCCCATAGAGAAACATAGGAGAATATTTGCCCATAAGGAAACATAAGAGATACTTGTCCACAGGCAATCATTGGAGAATTCTTTCTCATAGAGAATCATTGGGGAATACTTGCCCATAGGGAATCATTGGAGAATACTTGGCCATAGAGAAACATGGGAGACTACTTGCCCATAGAGAAACATAGGAGAATACTTGCCCATAGAGAAACATAGGAGAATACTTGCCCATAGAAAAACATGGGAGAATACTTGCCCATAGAAAAACATGGGAGACTACTTGCCCATAGAAAAACATGGGAGAATACTTGCCCATAGAAAAACATGGGAGAATACTTGCCCATAGAGAAACATAGCAGAATACTTGCCCATAGGGAACCATTGGAGAATACTTGCCCATAGAGAAACATACCGGGAATACCTGCCCATAAGGAAACGTCGGAGAATATTTGGTCATAGGGAAACACTGGGCAAGTATTCAATGTTTCTCTATGGGCAAGTATTCTCCAATGATTCTCTATGGGCAAGTACGGTTTCCCTATGGGCAGGTACTGTCATTTGTTAAGGCTAGATGTCTCACAAAACCTCAGTTCCCAGCATTCCCTAGCATTGAGCCAGGGCAGTTCAAGCGGACTCAAACGGGATTGTTTCTGGAGTGTGGTTGGGACCTTCCTTTCCCAAGAGGAAGAGATTGCGCAGAAATGAAGCTCTGGCTTTGGGAGAGAAGGAAGGAAGGAGCTGAGGAAAGGTCTCCAGAGGTGAGGGAGAAGGAAGGAGGCTCTGGCGGGTGTGGAGAAAAATAAAACCCCCTCCTATATGTTTGTAGAACAGGACTGTTTACATAGGAACCTCTTTCCCCTCAGCCGGTGGGAGACACAGCTGCGTTTCCGTCAGGACTCTTTTCACGGTGACACCCACTACTCTTCCTCCTCCTCCTCCTCTATCTCCTCCTCCTCCTCTACTTCCAACCCCCCCCCAACCCGCATAAAGAGCTAGGTAGAACCCCCAACCCTAAACCCCACCTTCTATAGACCTCTCCCCTCCTTCCTTCCTTCCATTCCCTCATGTGCGTCTCTTTTATCCTCCCCCCATAGCTGCTGTTTCCCCATCTCTCCTTAAGGGACACTGTAGTAGCTGCTATAAGGACCCACTGATGGGGGTAAGGTGGAGGGTAAACAGACATTTGGACTCCCTACTGTTTGCTCTTCTGAGGGTGCCAGGTGGAAGCTGACCCCTTGAGAGATTTAGTTCTCTCTCATCATTAAAAAACAACAATCTACTGCTAGTCTTTCAAGGCAGGGGTGGCTTCTTTTAATCTGAGCTACTTTCCTCCAAACCTTAAGGAAAATAAGCATTTTTTAATCTTTTTTTGTGTGTGTTTACCTTTGCCAGGATGCATTGGCATTGCATGCTGTCGACTCTGCCTGCTGGATAGGTGCCAACACCTCTCTCCTGCCATGTCTTCAGGAAGAACACCACCGCTAGTTGTGCCTTGGGCAATTTTGCTGCTCTTTGGATTGACAGTTTGAGATCAGCCTGCGCCTGCTTGCCACACATGGATGCCAAGGTGGCATTACTCAATCCCTTCCTCCTCCTCCTCCTCTCCCTCCTCCTTCTTCATGGTAACTTTGGACTTGGGCCACATGCTGCCATTCATACCCCAACATGCGCCCCAGATTGGTACCACTAAATGCTTCGCTTGGATTCTTGCCACCTGCTGCCAGTTGAGCTGCTACCTTGGATTGCTAGTCAGAGGACCTTGACCTGGACATTCCTGTATATTTTACTCCAAGATGGTAGCAAAGGGCACATTCTGGGTAATGGCTCACCTTTGGTGCCAGAATGAGAGCTGAAACATTGGAACACTGCCCAAGTTGGGTAAGTTTGGGGCTAGGGGTGAGTCAATTCTGCATGTGAGAAATGATGTGAACTGTTAGAGGCAGTGACATGGACATGTGCCAAGATCTTTCTGGAGAATTTCAGTGCCAGTTCCTCAGGCTATGTGTAAGTCTCTAGGAATGTACAAAAAGGTGTTGCATAAGTTCATGAGAAAGATGGCCTGTCTGGCATGTCAGTCCCTTCTCCACACTCAAATGGGAAAGATGTAGGATTGTACATGGGGCAGTGGGTGTAGTTAAAAAGTGGGAGTGTTCTCAGACACATCTGCCCACCATACCAAGATTACTTACCTTTTCTTAGTTCCACCCATCCAA